ACCATCTTTTTGAGATCTCTTTGGCTTTATCCACCCACCGAAAATGCCGATTCTCCAAAAACACCTAGACCAAAATTGTCCAGTTGATAACATTCTTCCTCCAATCAGTCAAAAAGCTCTTTTACAAGATCCAAAATTCCACACTTTACATGCTCATAAGGGCATTCTCAATCTCGCTTATCTTGGATCTGGTGATGAATCCTATCCTGAATCCTGGTCCCATTGCTTGAGGATCCCACACACGTTGAGAGCAACCAGGAACAAGACATTCAATGGACCGCATGATTACTTGAACAATTAGAAAGGATTGAAGGACTTAGGGAGGGAATCCAATTTTTTTGAATTTGAGGATTTTAAACATTATAAACACCAAAAAGTAATATTCTCTGAATAATCTCAAACTTCTTTTAAACCAGAAATTTATATATCTTACTTCATAGCCCATAACCCAGTTCTTGACCGTTGCCATGGTCGCTATGAACTCAGAGCACTCTGGATCACCCGTGTTGCGAGCCTTGCTACGGTTACCTGTGGACAATCTCTGAAGCTTGGAACTCTTCTCTTGCTGCGGTATGAGCTGGATCAAGAAGCTTTTATTCATTGCTTGGCCGCTTTCATGGCCGTCGCCATAAGAGAAGCATAGGCCCGGAGGCACGATAGATTGAAACGGATCCACTATTTTCAAGCACCAAATTGGTTCCAAAGATGCAGTGAGGCTGTGGCTGACAATAAATGTTTGATGCAAAGATACCTCTTCCATCTCCTCCTAAGAGCACCAAGTTCCCATCCCTCTGGAGAGTGAGTACACATCTAACACCTTTTCCAGCTGTGGAACTCGACCAAAGCTCTTTCCATCCCATCGCTAATAGCACCAAGTTACAGTCGTTTTTCAAAACGAGCTCGTAGAAGCCGTTGGGAGACACAAGACGAGAGCCGCTGTAGAGGTCAGATCCAAGCGCTCCTCGCTCTCCACTCACCATTCCAGAGCGAAAAGCATAGCACTCATTTTGGCCATACAACTCTCGAGTAGAGTTAAGAGTTGAGTTGGAAGGATTAATATTGAGGACAATCTCTAAAGGTTGACTAATATGTGTCGCTTGTGGCAGGGATGTGGAGTAAATCCGATAATCAATGCTTAGAAGTCCTGAGACGGCCATAATGCGACCATAGCCATACATGCGAGCTGCTTCTCCAATTCGATCAACCAGATAATTACTTATTTGTATGAGAGAAGATCCCCGGAGTCTCATTGGGGAGGGTCCAAGGCTACAACTTCCATCTGATTCCATGGTGAAGAGTGTTAGCCTTACAATGCAAAAATTGTCAGTATCAATTTGGAGAGTTTCTCCCCATGACTGCGAATTATAAAATATATCTGGTTGAATATTAGTTCTGATGAAGGAGCGAATGCGGATCTCCATGATGACGACTTGCTGGAGGTTGAGCCTACCTGGTATAGATGCCTCGTCAAAGCGCATGCATGAGCACCGAGAAAGGCAAAAAATCTGCAACAGCACTAGATACAATGCCTTCAGTCTCATTGAGTTTCTTGGACGATCTGGTTGCTTGGAGAATCCTTCACTTAAAATATCACTTTGGCTTTGTTACAAAGTTTGACTTGGAAAGCAAGTTGATTATGAAAAGAAATGACAAAAAATAGCCAAAAAGTCCACTTGGAATATATATTGAAATTTCTACTGGACGCTTTTTCGGGCATGACATTTGCTTGACAGGCCAACCTTCCATAAGATCGTCAAGAACCATACCACGGGTGACTTCTCAAGCCCTTATGTCGCGACGCTCTTCGTGCTCTACGGCCTCCCCTTCGTTAGAGCCAAAACCGCAGGATCGCGGGCACAGGATCAAATTTATTCTTTCTCTGTGATCCGCTATCGATCTCGCCGATCTTGATTGCGGAGAGCGCTTCCCACAGGAAGTGTAATCGCTGTCGGCCGTAAGATCCTCACTTTCTTGATTCCTGGGGCTTATGGGGCGGTCACTCCGCCGCGAGCGAATCCCCACCGTTGGATCTTGGGCCGTTGGATGTGGAGCGCGGCAAAGTTTTAGGGCTAGCGATGGCGATGGCGATGGCGATGGCGACAGTGCCTTCTTGCTCTCACGCCCTGATACGAAGTACGATCTTCTTCTTTCTCGAGACAAATCTTCTAAATCTCTCTTTGGAGCTCCAGAATTCATCGAATCCATGAAATCTCTGGGATATCCGGGCGATGGCCTGTCAATGGAGAGCTTCCGGACTCCACATTTCGATACAGTGGCGAGCTGTATCCGCTGGCTTCTTCCGAGGTAATAATCTGGCAATCTTTGGATTCTTGGAAGATAGAATTTGTAGGTATGATCCTGAAGTCCAGCTCCACGGCGACGTTTCGACGGAAGAGGGTCGAATTGCATTTCTCAAGTCTGCTGGCCGGGTCATGGTGATTCATCGTCATTGCTCGATTCCGATTATTTTTCTCTCTTTCCTTTCCAAGTTCTTTTCTAAGTTTTTTTGTTTTGATGGATCTTAGTTTCTCAAGACCAGGATGAAGCTGAATTTGCGAAGTTTATATATGGCTGATAGCAATGCTACGGCCGAGCTCCTCCAAGTTTCCACATTGCTTCAGCAAGCCATTGCATCAGCTTCTTCTGAAAAGGTCTGTGAGAATTTTGTTTTTCTTTTCCTCGTGATGTTTTCTCCATTGGGTTATGCAGTTGCCAGAGACAACACTCTTCAAACGGGCATTTGATGTGAAAGCAGCTCGATCACTTGTTCTAGAGATCATCAAGGCTGGAGCAACGCTATACGACGATTTGGCGACCGAAATGCAGCTTCAGGTAGATATAAACTTGTGGTTTTGCATTTGTAACTTTTGGGATTGATGCTGCGATAGGGAGAGCGAAACATGGCTGCTTCGACAAACACTGACATTGAGCAGATTGAGAATTTGGTTAGAGAAGGTACTTTTAGTTTGCTGCAAACAGTTTCTTCGGTTGAGCAGCAACAGCATAGCTGCGAGAAGGATGAAAAATCACTGAGTATAACACATGAGAAACGAAAAGTGGAGCTTGAGCGGTGCAAAAAGCGCCTATCGGTGCTTGAAAACGTCAGGTATCGATAACATTGAAACCTTTTGGAGAACTCTCATTGTGTTTGCGTTTTATGAACAGGCCAGCATATCTTGACGAGTACGAAGTGCTCCAAAGTGAGCTCCAGCGCCTTTTTGGTGTTTATCTCGAGAAATTCCACAATCTACGATGGCTAGAGAGTCAACTAGAAACACACAATCAAGAAGAGCAGGAAAAACTACAAGAATCGTTTGCTATGATGAAGCGTCTCCAACAACAATTGCAAGACGAGGTGATAAGTGTCAAGGTTTCGATTGTATTATTCTTACTTCAGCTTGCTACAGAACTTACAAATCCTTCGAGGAGAGGAGAGTGGAAATAACAAGGATAATGTGGAACTAAGCGAGCTCTCTTGGAGCGACTCAAAGCTCTCTTTTGCACTATTAGCTGAGACGGGGAACACTGTTGCCAATCCACAAGAGAACTCTTTCAACTTTAACCAGGCTCGCCACTCACCTTCAAAGGTAGCTAGGATTTTATATTTTTCGTCTGCTGTGATCATCAACAGCTTCTCCAGGACGTCTCGGAGGCTATTTCAGACGACGAGTCTGACAATGGTAATGAACAAGTAGAAGACAGCACAGATGACGAGTTCTAGGCTTGAGAAGTTCTTTGGTGGTAAGATATTTCCTCTTTCCTGTGTGTGTTTTTTATTTCTATATTTTCATATATAAATTTTATTTTGAGATTAAATTGGCATACTTCTCTAAATATTCTATCTCAATAAATACCAATTTGGCAAAGCCTTCCACCAAACTCTTTTTTCTAGTATTTGACATTTGCTATTATTATAAGCATCCGAAACATTATTCCTTTCTAAATGTGGAATAATTAAGAATTTTCTATAAAAGCTCGTTTCTCTATTTCAGTCGAGAAGTCCAGTGTCAGGAGAATGACCCGGAAAGATGACAAATATTTTGGGCGACCTGGACGTCCTGACTGGCCTTAAGCACTTGTCTCTCAGGTATGTTTTGGACGTGGAGGAATGGAAAGAGCTCGTCAGATCTTCAACAAGCTTGCCGCAGCTGGAAAACGTTTGGAGTCGGATTGCAAGGATCGAGCCAAAGCTAAGAGACACAGACTTTGGCAACTATCTGATTCGCGCGTTTGGGAAACGAGGCTGCCTGAAATGTTCCCTGCGGGTGTTTGACGCGATCATCGCCAAGAACACCAAGTCCTGGTTGCTGGTGCTCTCCAGCTTCGCTCTCACCAGATGCTTCGATCAGCCAACACGCAAGGGCTCTCTGGAGGACGCCAAGAATAAATTCGAAAGCGGTGCCAAGAGCCAAGGGTGCTGGAACTCGATGCTCGCGGCTTATGCCCAGAACGGGCATCTCTCGCGCGCGAAACAACTCTTCGACGAGATGCCGGCTCGTGACATCGTCTCTTGGAGCTCGATGCTCGCAGCAAGCTCGCTCAACAGAAACTCCAACGCAGCAGATTTCTTTGAGAGAATGCCGTCGCGGGATCAGGTGTCGTGGACTGCGCTCCTCGCAGGCCATGCACGGGCTGGAAACGTTGACAAGGCGATCGCGCTCTTCAACTCGATGCCGTGCCGAGACGTCCCGGCCTGGAACATCATCTTCGCGACTTACAGCCACGCGGGAGATTTCAAGACCGCAATGGAGCTGAGGAGGGTGATGGATCTGGATGGAAGCAAGCCGGACGAGCTCTCCTTCGTCTCGCTCCTGCTGGGATGCTCGTCCAGAGACACCGCTCGGCGCTGCCTGTGGCTGATGATCCGCGACTATCACATCGCTCCAATCAAGCTCCACTACGGCTGCATGGCGGACTTGTTCCACCGGTGTGGCTACAGGAGGAAAAACGACATAGAGCCTTTCAAAGCGAGCATTCCGGACGAGAGTAGCGACTGGGTGGAGAGAATCCTCGAAGCTGAAAGGAGGTAAGATAGAAAAAAATCTTTCTTTTATTTTTCCACTTTTGTAATTCACGTCACCGAGATCGCTGAAAGAGAGAGAGCGAAGGTGTAGTTGGGGAAGTGAAAAGAATACTTTTCTCGACAATGGGCTTTTGCTCAATCTTGTTACTGTTGCTAGCAATGCTGCTTCGAACAGCACCTCATAAAGCTTTCATAAAACCTGTTAAGCCCATCTTTGTGCTGTTGAAACAGCATGGAGATTACTATCTTCCACAACTCTACACCCAACACGTAGGAGGCCCAGCCACCTCCCAGGCCCACGCATTCAGCAGATTCTCGCAGCGAATGACCGCCTTACACAAACAGATGCTTGGGGTCTCACAGCTGAAGCGTGTGACAAGTTGTTTCTCGCTCTGCCCGATTTTTTTACAAGAAGCTAATGAAGATTTCACTCGAGACTGGATGGTGAATTCTATTTTCTCGAAGTTATTTGCGATCTAAGCGGAACCCTTTTAGCCATGCACATCAGGTAATAAACTACAAGTACCTTGGTTATATGGTCAGGGACAACAGAATATGCATTCAAGCAGCGATCTCAAGCACTGTCCTCACATAGGTTTGGGGGCTGGATTACCAAGAATAACATGGAACAAACAACTTAACCATTGGGTCCTTAATGTTTACTTGCAACAAGGTGGGATCCTCGTAAGTATGGAAAAACACAATATAATGTCCTTGATTTAATTTGCACAAACCGAGATAAAATGCATGCACAACATATCTAGGGATGGATCTTGAGTCATGTCCCAAACCTCAAGTGGTGATCTATGGAATGACAACATTGTAAAATGCTAGCATAAGCCTTCACTTGGGGGCTGGTAATTGGGAGGGATGCAAGTTACCCTGAGAGAACCATATCTGCTATCAAGACATTGAAACTGTTCAACATGTACCAATTGCAACGGGACGAAGAACCACTGCCCGATTGCCCCTCCAGCAATGGCAACACCTATGATTTTGCAAGTCAACAATAAACCTCCGTGACTTCATGCCATCCTAGCCCACATGTCCTTAACTCCACAGTATGCCCTTCGTAGGTCCTCATGACCAGAAATAGGTACTGTTGTTTTCCTTGGACTCATGTCCTGCCAAAGAAGCATCCTGACATTCTTGAGATGCTACATGGTGTAAGTAATGTTTCTCACTAGTTTCAACAACCAACATTGCAATAGTCTATATAGGATAACTGATGGGGCTCCAAGAGTCTTCGAATGTTTGGGCAGACTTTTTTGATGCTTATAATTTTAGATATGATATGCACATTTAAATAAAATTATTTACAGTGAAGGAATGTTTATAAATATAAGATATTGAAATTAGATAATTTTTATATAATAGTACCTTTGGCTTGATTTGGAATTTTATATTTTCTCAAATAATAAAATCTTTTTTATATCTGTAAAGAGATTTGTTGTTTGTATATGAACTGAGGGCTGGGATACCCCCAAACATCAAAGATAGAACTGGAGTCAATGACATTAATTGTGAAGGCTAATGAAATGAATTCAGCTTGTCACGCTGATTATAGATTGGAATTGCTCTAATTCATTCATCAGCTGCAGCAGAACCAAGAGTAACTTAAGCTATAAAATCTTCAATCCCCTAAATAACATTTATTCTCAATCTCAACAATTGAATTAAAGATTTATATTTGGATATTCTAGATATACTCACTACACTTATTATAGGTTTCCAAAAAATTAAAAAAATTATAATTTTTATATACTGTACTTTAGTTTTATTTCTAATAGTTCTGGTTCTTCTTGACTAAAAGTGTATCCTATTAATCATTCTATTGTACAAAAAATTATTTTATTATACACTTACTATTTAGTAGTTTTGATTCTTCTTGACTAAAGTTTGGTATACCTTATTTAAAACTAATAAATACATATATCCTATTTCATTTTTTTGTATAAACCATTATTTTGTTGCACAGGCTATACTTACCAACACATTTGTACGCTTTCTTCATGGCAGAAATCTTTGTCTGGGATTTTCTCGCCACCGAGAAGCATAAGAGTGATGCTGTGTCCTGGCGGGGAGAGAAAGAACGCACCACAGGTGTCACAATATTACAATCCTATAGTGAATAATTCATATACCATTTAGGATATCACTACCCCATTTGATGCTTGGGAGATCATGAGTGGCCACCCCCAACCATACACAAGCAACAAATCTCTTTACATATTAGAAAGATATAAAAAGGATTTTATTATGTGAGAAAATATAAATTCCTAATCAAACCATATCTAAAATCATAAGCATCAAAGTCTGCCCAAACATTATCTTTATGTATAGATGAAGAAAATAATGAGATGTGAACTCCCATGATAAGTTTTCATTATTATGTAAAGAATGCCACCTAATATCATCATTTTTTGATGCACAATAAATTCACTTTCTAAATGAATAGTTATAATTACATGGATACTTCTACTTTTAATAAAAAAATAATAATAAACACATGAAATATATTCATTTTTGCAGATTCAAAAGCTACTTTGGCAATGATTAAAGTTAATATTTTCCTTATTTTTGACAGACTTTGGTTAAAAATAGTAAAAATTATCTGGTACTGTGGTAATGGCTTTGTCTACACTCTCTTTGACTCACTTTGGCCTCACACATTTTAGTTTATCTTGGATTTTGTGGTGGTCAACTAAGTTCGACACCTCAAAGGATTTTATGATCCTAGGACGGCCGCAAGAACCTTCTCAGAATTTGAGGTTTATCATCTTTCAGAATATCTGGACGTCCTGACGGAGGAATGGAAAAGTGCTCGTAAATCTCAAGCCTAGCTGAAAAACCGTTTGGTGTCGGATTGCAAGGTCGAGCCAAGGCTAACAGACTATCTAGTTCGCGCGTTTGGGAAACGAGGCTGCCTGAAATCCCCTGTGGGTGTTTGACGCGATCATCGCCAAGAACACGTAGTCCGTTGCATGTACTCTCCAGCTTTCTCGCCAGATGCTTCGATCAGCCAACACGAAAGGGCTCTCTGAAAGACGCCACTTGGAGCCAACGGTGCTGCAACTCAATACTCGCGGCTTGCATCTCTCGCGCGTCGACGACATGCTCGTGACATCATCTCGATGCCCGCACCAAGCTCGCTCTCAACAACGCAGCAGTGGATCTCTTCGAGATGATGCCATCGTGGGATCAGAGCAAGCCGGACGAGCTCTCCTTCGGCTGGGATGCTCTTCCCGACACACCGCTCGGCGCTATGCCTCTGGCTGATGATCGGACTTGCAATTCCACTGGTGTGGCTACGACATGGAATCTTTCAAAGCAAGCATTCCGGGCAGAGTAGCGACTGGGTGGAGAGGAGTCTCGATGCTGAGAGGAGGTAAGATAGAAAAACTTCTTCTCTTTTTCTTGTTGGTTTTCCACTTTTGTCATGTTCTAAGACCCAATAATTGGCCAAGAACTGAAAATACGTCACCGAGGATTCCTCGCGATAGCGTGATCGCGGGAAATAGCCCGAGAAGGAGAGCGAAAGGTGGACAGGGCGATCGATACGTTGATGCTCGCAGTTGGGGAAGAGAAAAGATTACCTACGCAGTCATCTTCTTTCGGGTCACGCACCCTGAAAGCGGGCGGCTTGCTCGGGGAGGCGGCTCCTTTTTAAGTCGCTCGGGGCCTCGTTGATTGTTGGGTGGCGAGAAAAGCAACGCAGCGAGAGCTCATACTTTTCCTTCCTACTTTTCTCGACAATGGGCTTTCGCTCGATCGCGCTGCCGCTGCTGGCAATGCTTTTCCTGGAGTCGTCGCTCATCGCTCACGGCTTCCGGGTGAATCTCATCCATCCCGCCAAGGAGGCCATGCGGCGCAATGGGGTCAAGAGGAGCGAGGCGATCCGCGGGCTGGTGGCCAAGAGCCACGCGCGAGTGAGATGGATGGCAGCGCGGGCGAATTCGTCTTCATGGTCGTCGATGGCCGGCACTACGGACGTGGAATCGCCGCTCCACCCGGACGGCGGGGGCTACGTGATGGACATCTCGGTGGGCACGCCGGGCAAGAGGTTCCGCGCCATCGCGGACACGGGCAGCGATCTGGTGTGGGTGCAATCCGAGCCGTGCACGGGCTGCTCGGGCGGCACCATCTTCGATCCCCGCCAGTCGTCCACCTTCCGCGAGATGGACTGCTCCTCGCAGCTCTGCACGGAGCTCCCCGGATCCTGCGAGCCCGGCTCCAGCGCCTGCAGCTACTCGTACGAGTATGGCAGCGGCGAGACGGAGGGCGAGTTCGCGCGCGACACCATCTCCCTGGGCACGACAAGTGGCGGCAGCCAGAAGTTCCCGTCCTTCGCCGTCGGATGCGGCATGGTCAACTCTGGCTTCGACGGCGTGGATGGGCTTGTCGGGCTGGGCCAAGGTCCCGTGTCGTTGACCTCGCAGCTCTCCGCCGCCATTGACAGCAAGTTCTCCTACTGCCTCGTGGACATCAACAGCCAATCGGAGAGCTCCCCTCTCCTGTTCGGCCCGTCGGCGGCGCTGCACGGCACCGGCATCCAGTCAACGAAGATCACCCCGCCCAGCGACACCTACCCGACGTACTACCTGCTCACGGTCAACGGCATCGCCGTCGCCGGTCAGACCATGGGCAGCCCAGGCACGACCATCATTGACTCCGGGACGACGCTGACGTACGTGCCATCGGGGGTGTACGGCCGGGTGCTCTCCCGGATGGAGTCAATGGTGACCCTCCCCAGGGTTGACGGGTCGTCCATGGGGCTGGACCTCTGCTACGACCGGTCCTCCAACCGCAACTACAAGTTCCCGGCGTTGACCATCCGGCTGGCGGGCGCGACCATGACGCCGCCGTCGAGTAACTATTTCTTGGTGGTGGACGATAGCGGCGACACCGTGTGCCTGGCCATGGGCTCCGCGGGTGGCCTCCCGGTTAGTATAATCGGGAATGTGATGCAGCAGGGCTACCACATCTTGTATGATCGCGGGAGCTCCG